GATGCGGCTTGGAGTAGATCTTGAAGGAAAACTGCAGGACATATGTCCGTGTTGCCGAATCATTCCCAGTTTACCTTCTCGAGGTCCTCCAGGGCTCTGTAGAAGTCAGCTCCCTTCTCATTCATTGACCGAATGACGTCCTGGACGGCAATTTGAAAGTAGTCGACCGCTTCTTGCAAGGACTCCTGAGACGAGTTCACGGCATAGTCATTATAAAACAGGCATATATCTCTTGAACCTGGAGGCTAATCTCCATCATCATCAGCCTTTTGCAGAGTTTCTCGAGCTCGCTTGTCCCTTAGAGAAAAGAACATAACAGCGGTTGAATGACAGCGAGGATACCAAGCTCAAGAAGACGCCCCTCGCATCGCTCCAGTTGGTCAATGTCCTCGACTCTATCACATTCTTCGAACACTTTTTTGAGACCTGCTAGCAGTCCTCCGGAAGATCAACTAGATATTACTCAACCTTTTGAGTAAGTCTCGATCAGACTATTTGCCTCTCCTTCTGCCTCGGCAATCCCTCTAGTAGCGGCTCGATTAAAATGATACATCATCTTGGTCCGAGAGTTGTTTTTCTCCAAAACTTCCTACAGAGACGATAATGAGCTTTTGAGGTCGGCACACACATCACCTTCCTCAGTGACCTAATCAGCTCAGCGACTTTGTCCTTGAAGTCTTCTTTCAATACAGGATACCCTTGGAGGATTCGAATCTAGCCGTATGGGGCAACTCTCCGCAGTTTTCCGTAAAACAACTTACGCTGAAACCTTCGGTTTCTTCCTCGCCTGTGAAAAGCTCGTCCAAAAGTTCCGCTGTCGAGTCTAGAAAGCTCCCTTTCAATACTTCCATTTGCTCCTTCTGCATAAGGATGCTACCATGTCTTCTTTGCTCAACAAGTTACTTTGCGCTCTTCTTCTTCGTACTTGCGATCCAAAACTACCTCTCTCTCTTTCAGTTCCGCAAGATCATCAACCTGTGATGACTCCCAGATCACGCAACTGCATCATTAGCATACATGATAGGTCTCGGCTGCTGTCTGTGCCTCAGTGTGGTCAATTAGCATATAGTCTAGGTACTTGAGGCGACCAGGTTGTCCAAGATACCTGAGACTTATGTTGTGATTCTCTGATATGTTGTGCTAGGTAGTACGCATAGATATGCTGTCGATAGCTGATGGAGTCGCAAATAGGGTTCCCAGCTAAACACAAGCAGCGCAGCTTCTTGAATCTTCGCAAATACTCGACATGGCGCAGATCTCTAATACGGTTACGTCCAAGGGATAGGACCTGCATTGAAGCTCGTTTTAATGCGAGCCATCTCGAGATTTACAGTAAGCTCCGGGCAGCCGTCTAAACCGCTGATCTCCGTGATGAGGTTGTTGAAGAGCGACAAGTCCTGCAATTTGGGTAACTAATGAACAGAATGCCCACAAGTTTCCCTTACTTTCTTACCTTCTCAAGACCTTCGATCTTGGTGATTTGATTGAAGGATAGATCAAGCCACATGAGATTCGGAAGACACTCGAGGTTCGAGATTTTATCGATGTAGTTGTTATCGAGATAGAGTACCTCCACAGTCCCAAGTGGCGCTTCCCAAACCATAGGCTATCGTAAACCTACCTCTAGGTTATGCAGTGTCGCGAGGTTGGAGATACGGGATATACCAGAGAAGCTGAGTCGCATTTTCCGCACGCGAGGGAAGGCCTCGGGCGTCACTATCGGTGGGGATGTATGCTCCGCGGGTGCAGATTCGCCGGTTCCGCCGCTTCCGTCACCTGTCATGAATACGTCACGCAGGGGAGGCCGACCAGTTCTCACCTCCGACGAAAAGAGGATTTTCTTCAACAACAGACGCCTCCTGAATGAAGGAATACTAATGAACATATGGGAGAGCAGAGAGCAGCATCACTTCTCTCTTATGCATCGCACTTATGATATCAACGTCTTCTATCCCAGCGAGCAAAAGATCTTCATCAATAACACGAGGTTCAACGGGATTCGCCTTTTGCTTGCGTTCGGCTATCTAAGATGCGGCAATACTGAGCGCAGTGGCATTCCACCCAACGAGAAAAACAGCTAGCAAGCGAATAGAGTTGAGAAACTAAAACAAAAAGGAGCATGGCGCCTTAGTCGTCGATGACCCAATAGAAAGTACTATATCGAGCATAACAGCACGTAAGCACATTCACGATCCCAGGCTCTAGCCTGATACTACCGATATCTTCGCAATTCTTGTGCCTCCAAACCTTGTTGGGGGGGAAGGTGGCGGCAAAGCGGGATGCGTTGGGAAGCTCGGTTCTTCTGGCACCACTTCCACAACAGGTGGCTCGACTGGCTGTTGCTCCGGAGTAGTAGTCTCCTCTAGATCCTGTGATATTGCGGTCTCCTCAGCCAAACTTTCTGGCATCGGCGATGGCAAAACGCTGGGCTCCTCTTCGGGAGGAGCCAAGGCCGCATCCGCCTCTACAGACCCAGCGTCTGTATGTTCTTCCGGAGGAACAATGATTATCTCCATGGGTGTTGAAGCTGCGAACTCCGAATCCGAGGAAGATAGTGACATGATCGAGCGAGTGTGTGACAGCTGGAAAGAAGGCACTGAGTCTCGGGCGAGCAGAGTTGAGTTACTAACGTCAAAGCAGAGGCATGTTGGTAGAAACGTATGTCAAAACTCCTTGACGGGCGATGGAACACTGGACACCATATTCAACTGGACATCTATTGCATGCTTTTTCGGACTTTCTCTGGGGAAGGTTGGGAGTACATCTCTTCCCGTTCTCTCTTCCGCTAGTGAGAAACCTATGCCGCGAGTTCAACGCTGGGCCCGCGCCAGAGGCGAGTACTTTCTCCGCGGAATCCCCAAAGAGTGCCTAGGAGTGCCGACATACAGACGGTACTGACACATTGACCTGGCCGATATGCAAGCCGCAAGCCATCCTGCATGGCAATTAATATCTGAGCGGCATTCTGTGGCGTTAGTGTTGCATGAGAATTCGAAGCCATGAGACCATCACACTAGACCGAAACACGTCCTTGAATTCACTAGGATGGCGTACTAGGTCATCTCTTGCTCAGTCAGCTCCTGGTATTATAGACAAGACCCATTCTACGGGCTCACACATAGAAGGTGGGATTCTGTCAGCAACAACCACCTGCTTCAGCTTCGTTTAAACTTGTACGTACTGCTCGTTTTGAAGGAAGCTTTTCGTGGGGTGTCTCTCATGAGAAACTAGCCGTGATCTTGGGCTCGACATCAAGCGTTGAGGGAAGGAGAATGCGTAGCAATCGATTATATCCGTCACGAAGTGTCTGAGCGGTTATTCAGTATGCGCGAAATATTCCGAAGTTGGAGAATAATTCACCGCGCATAACCGTCAGTTCCCTGTGCAAGACTGAATGCGAGTTAGCAAATCGGCATGCTAGACGAGACCTTGCACGATGACGAGCGATTATTGGAAACTCCCGAGAAGGCTGAATCGAGTACGTGTACTTGAGGAACGCATCTGTGATTCCCATTTCATATCAGTAACACGGTCCAGGTTGGGTAATGTTGACCTCAGCACTTACATCCAAAGTACACCGAATGCAGCAAGGCTCCGAGCAGGGAATGATGCAGATAGCCTCGGCTCCACGGCTGAAGACGCGGTTGACACGGTAGGCACGCTAGATGTTTAAGCTCGTCGCATGACTCGTGCGGCATGAGCTGGACTTCAAGATATCATAGTGTGGGGATGCAGGTACGAACTAAAGTTGCCAAGATTGAAACGAGGATTGGCAGGGGCGGACTCGGCACCATTGACTCGTGTGCGACGACGAGGGAGTTTCTTAGACGGAGCTCGGTAGTGCGCAACAGTCTCGATGAAATGTTCAAGGACAGCAGTCCGCGGCTGACTCGTAGCGAGGGTGAGTCACATGATCGAATAAGCATTTTCTAGAAGTACGGTGATGAGTAGCTCGTGCGCACTCGCATTCAGCATGTGGTGTATCCGCATGAATTGGTTCTGAGTCAATAGTCGAATATCGATTGATAGTTGATAATCACGGCAGGGACTGACCTCCAGGGTAGTCAATGAAGTAGCTTTGGGATCCGTTTGTTGGGTTCCCATCAACGCGTGTGTCACAAAGGACTTCAAATCGAATACTGAAGTCGGTCGAGAGATCCAAACCAACAAGTAGACATGCGGAGTTTTCGTTTATTACGAGGTGCACGCACTCCAGACTCGCGGACAACACTAGTGGATCCATGGATTGGGTCTGCTAGACGGATATCCCTCTGCGCTGCGGATTCTAGCAGCGAGAGCGAGGTAAGAGCACAATCTGGAATCCATTCGCTTGATTAATTGTGCATTCCAGATGTTTTCTGATAGTGAGGATCAAACCCCGTCCGCGAGCAGATCACGGCGGCCTCATAGGAGATGCAGTAAGTACCCTCTGTTGATAGGTATTCACACGCCATTTCGGAATCAGATCTTCACGAGGAGGCGTACGGTGGGATACATACGATGTAGTGTCATTGTTCCCACATAAAGTTGAAGTCTCGCTCCTGATACAGGTACGAGAGTGCATTTGATCTAGATTGGAGCTCGGAACCACACATTATGACGCACGATGTCGAACCCTCTAGCAGTACTGCGAGGGTTCGTTGTCAACACAGAACGGAAAAATGCAAGACTGGCTACTCCACTCATCCGGCTCGTGATGATGTGAGCGAAACCAACGTACGATATCGTCCGCGGCCCAGTGCAGCCGACGCTTGAGCTTTTCAGGCATCGGGAAAACGGCCCTCGATGACGAACGTGTCCACACCGAGTGTGGATATCCAGAGGTAGTCATGAGCATCATTAAGTGTGAACACGACTCCCCTTCCAGACGGCCACGCCTCGTGCAATTGCGAACTCTCTCTTGGAGCGCCATCTTCGCTCTTTTAGTTGTTTTGATATGTAGTCTCATGATACTGGCATACTACATGGGGATGCGTAGAGGTCTTCAGGAAGCCGGGAGGTAAGTTCTAGATGCTAGACATTCCCGTTTGACCGTGTACTTTGAACCAATCAAGATGTTCGAAGGTGACTCAATCAATCCGAACCCGTTCATCATTGAGGGAATCATGACCGGTCTCACTTACTAGGATGACCAATTTAAATACTGTTCGCTCGTTCGTTGTGGCCGGATGCGCTTCCATAGGTGTCACTCTCGTCTCGAGGTTTACTCGAGCGCCTGGATCCCATGGACTTCTGACTGAGTGATCATTCTGACTGATTCACTGACTTCAGTGTTCAAAACGTACATTATAACAATTCTGCGAAGCCTGCAGCAACTGCATTCTCTTCAACTCCGATTTGTAATAACTGTAATATCATGTTGATTATTTAATGTGCCGAGTTTTGAATTGGTCAAGTGCATCAATGATAGGGAATCTGGAAAGTCAATGCAGAACGCTTACGTCATGGATAAGTTCGATAAGAGGAAGTCCTATTGTTTGTTATTTAGCCAAATTCGCTCAGCTAGGACAGATACAGTGTCACCGCCGAATGACCTGTCGTTCAGCAAACATTGCTGGTGATCTAGTCGTACAGGGAGGAGGGAAGGTTGACGGAGGGTGCGGAGTTTCAAGCTCCAGAGTAAGGGTCTCTACATGGTT